AAGGTTTGGCTTCATTGCCTCAGTACCTGCTCTTTTCTGATATTAAGAACTCTGTATCATTCTGACACGAAAAACTCAGCACAGATGGCACAAGATTTTTTGCTGTAATATATCAACAGGAAAGACAGCCCTGTAAACCATTTCTGGGGTGGTTTTTTTTTTTTTNCTGCCCCACCCCTGGAAGTGTCCAAGGCCAGGTTGGACAGGGCTTGGAGCAGCCTGGTCTGGTAGAAGGTGTCCCTGCCCATGGACACCTCCAGAGTAGATGAAAAAGTGAATTTGTTAAGGTTTGTCAGGTTAAAAAAAAATAAAAATAAAAAGCCTTGGGGTTTGGGAATAAAAGGCCTCGGGAATGTCTTCCTGGGTGTGGAACTGTTATAAATCTTCAGAAAGACAGGAGTCAAAACTGCAAAACAAAGATCAGGATGAAAGAAAACTTCCAGAGCAAGTTGTTGGAGCTGCTGTGACCACGGACACAGCTCCCAAAGCAAGATGTCCAGAAGTGGGATGATAGACCCCCAGTACTCCTGGGTTTATTTATGGTGACAGAAATCTGAGCTGTAGTAATGGCTTTGCCACTATTTTGGGCACAGGGAGTGATAACAAACCCCCTCTGGTACTCCAGAATCCTGTATTTTTCCTGCTCATTTTTCAATGGAGTAGTTTTAGGGCAATACCTGCCTTTGACAGAAATGTCAAAATTTATACTGTGTAATAGGAAAAAAATAGAATTATATCATTGAATCCCAGACTGGTTTGGGTTGGAAGGGACCTTAAAGCTCACCTTGTTCCACCCCCTGCCGTGGGCAGGGACACCTTCCACTATCCCAGTTTGTTCCAGCCTGGCCTTGGACACTTCCAGGGATGGGGCAGCCACAGCTTCTCCGGGCAAATAGTGAAGAGGTTGTAAAATTGCCTTAGATACAATCAAAACACATTGTTTATTATTGAACTCTTGTATAAAATGAATCTCATAAAACCGATGCTTCTACCAAGAGCCCAGGGCGGTTCCTTTCCTGTGGAATTCCTGGGGCATTTCACCACATCCTGTGAACTCCCAAGAGAAAAGGCTTGGCCAGCAGGTACCTGACAAGGCCCAAACCTCTCTGTTTGGGGAGAAACAGTTTTTCTTGGCAGAGTCAGGACAAAGCTCTTCCTTCTGCTGCTCCTGTGACCTTCATTCCCAGAGCAAAGACACGGGAACAGTGAGATCTCCCAGCACTGCCTAGAACATGGAGCTGGATCTTCAGCCAAGGAAGCTGGAAGGGCTCCAACCACTCACACCAGATATTTCTGGCTATTTTTTTCTTTGGTGTAAAGAGGCTGAACTTGACTTGCAGCAGGGGAAACACATGGGCAGTGTTTGTTCTGATTCCAGGGAGGTTTTTGGGAGAGTGTCTTGGACACTGCCAAAAGTGGGGATTGACCAGTAATTTTTCATACCAGTGTGAGATGAGCAGCATTAGTCAGATGTGCTCCCTGACTCTCCTTTCCACAGAAAAAAATACTTACACACTGTGAATAAATCCTCCAAAGCCAAAAATCCAGATGTGTGGAAGAGCTGAGCAGAGGATCAGAGTCCTTTTCTACCTGTCCCACATCTACACTTGTCATGTAGGTTCATGTCCCAATGTTTTAGAAATGGTCCTACTGTTTCTTTCTGTTCTAAGCTGGTCTGATCCAACCTGGCCACAGGGATGAAAGGAATTTCTGTGGGGGATGTCCTGCTTAAAGCAGGACTAGATCACAATGGTTGAGCCTTTGCCAGTCCAAATATTGGACAAAAACCCCCAAAGGGTGGAAATACCTGTCTTTAGTGACCTGTCCAAGGGCTGCAGAGACGTCTGGGGAGGGGGCTTTTCCTAAAAGCCACCTTGAACCTCCCAACGTGCAATTTGTGGCTATTGCCCCTTGTTGGACTGTCTGGTACCACTTAGCTCTTCTCTGTCCTCTTTGTAATTGTCCTCCAAGTAGATGTAGCTGCTGGTAAGTTGATCCTTCAGCCCCCTCTTCATCTGCTGAACCCAGCTCAGATCCCACCACCTCTAGTTATAGTCACAGAATCACAGCACAGAATATGCTGAGCTGGAAGGGACCCACAAGGATCATCCAGTCCAACCCTCAGTCCTGCACAGGCCCATCCCCAAGAGTCACCCCCTGTGCCCCAGAGGATCATCCAAACCCTCCTGGAGCTCTGGCAGCCTTGGGGCTGTGCCCACTGCCCTGGGGAGCCTGGGCAGTGCCCAACCAGCCTCTGGGGGAAGCACCTTTCCCTGAGATCCAACCTGAGCCTGCCCTGACACAGCTCCAGGGCATTCCCAGGGTCCTGTCCTTGGTCCCCCTAGAGCAGAGCTCAGTCCGTGCCCCTCCTCTGCCCCTGCCCAGGAAGGTGGAACTGCACTGAGGTCTCCCCTCAGTCCTCTCTTCTCCAGCTGAACACACCAAGTGCCCTCAGTGTCCTCCCACAGCTTCAAATCAAGACCCTTCCCCATCTGTGTTGCCTCCTTTGGACACTCTCCAGTGGCTCAATATCTCCCTGACATTGTGTCCCCCCAAACTGCCCCAATGTTGAGGTGAGGCCGCCCCAGGGCAGAGCAGAGCGGGACAATCCCCTCCCTGATGCCCCCAGGACAGGGTTGGCCCTCCTGGCTGCCAGGGCACTGCTGACTCAGGGACAACTGGGCACCCACCAGGACCCAAGACCTCCCAAAATGTTTGAAGGTGACTCATTAGAACAGGGAAGATTTGTCGGTGTCTGCATTTCTGATGGAAAAGTAAAACCTCTCCATCAGGTGGAGGGGGGAGTCCAGTGTGGTGTTTCCTCCTGGCCAATGAGTGACATGGGATTTAAATCCTAATTTTTCTTGGAAGCTTTTGAGGGTAAACAATCAATTGTTTTGTTTCAAAGCAGGAAGAACAGCCCCAAACCAGCCCTCAGCCCTCGCTCAAAAAGACCAGAGTCAGACCACTCAAATATTTTGCAATCACAAAATCACGTCCTGGAGCCCAGAAAGCTCAGTTGTGTCAGGTGTGTCATGGCAGTGGAGGCACCTCCACAGGAAATCCACCACAGTACAACACCCCCAGGGCAGGACCAGGCAGGACAAGAGGCATTTGCAAACGTTTTATTGCTGTTGCTACAGCCCAGGTTAAACACTTGAACATATAAGGTTGTACGAGGTACAGAGTCTGATGGAAGCCAACACAGCAGCGGCCCTGTAAGGCAAGGTTTCCATGAATCCATGTGCTGATCAGGGAAGTGGAATTGTCTGAGAAAAGGCAGGGAACTGAGTTTGGGAATCAAGGATTTCTGGGCTTTCAGTGATGGCCTCTCTACTGCAAACCGAAGCTGAGGAGCAGCACACAGAGTGAGAACACTGAGACAACCAGAGAGAGGGGAGGCAGGTGTACCATCCTCTCTGGGACATGTCCACTTCCAAGACTCTGGGTGGACAAACAGCAGGAGGATGTTGCCCTGCAAGAGGATCCACACCAGTTATGGTGTGGGAGGACACACACTTTGGAGGGGGTCTGATTGTGCACAACCTTTTGGGTAGGGCACCTTTTGCACTCCCTCTGCTTTTCCATGCTCCTCAGCTACTACCACACTCTGCAGTTGGATATTCCCTTTAAGGTGGTCAGAGCTGTCTTGCCCTGACCCTCTGCTTTGCTTTCAGTTAAGGGCTGCAATCACAGTATCTCTTAAATGTGGAGGGGCACTGAGGAGCCAGGACTCCACATTTGGTGGGACTTGTCCTGTCTTGCACTTGTGCCTGACACTGTTCCCGCCACAGGGACGTGCTGTTGGCCACTAACAACATGGAATCATTGATTCACCAGGGTTGGAAAAGACCTCCAAGATCACCGAGTCCAACCACCAACCCAGCACTGTCATGTTCACCACTAAAACACGGCCCCAAGTGCCACACCCACACATTCATTGAACACCTCCGGGGATGGTGACTCCACCACTGCCCTGGGCAGCCTGTTCCAATGCCTGACCACCCTTTCCATGAAGAAATGTTCTGGTTTTCCAGCTTAAACTGCTGTTTCCTTTCGTTCTGTCTCTTGTTCCCTGGGAGCAGAGCCCGACCCCCCCCCGGCTCTCCTCTCGTGTCAGGGGGTTGCAGAGCCAGAAGGTCCCCCCCGAGCCTCCTTTTCTCCAGGCTGAGCCCCCCAGCTCCCTCAGCTGCTCCTGCTGCTCCAGCCCCTTCCCAGCTCCCTTCCCTTCTCTGGACACGCTCCAGCCCCTCAGTGTCCTTCTTGTTGTGAGAGACCCAAAACTGAACTGTGAGGTGCCTCAGCAGTGCCAGCACAGGGACAGGCACTGCCCTGACCCTGCTGCCACACAATGGCTGGTACAGCCCAGGTGCCACTGGCCTTCCTGCCCACCTGGGCACACCTGGGCTCATGTTCAGCGACCGTCAACCAGCACCTCCAAGTCCTTTTCTGCCCAGACAGGTTTCCAAACCCTTTTCCCCAAGCCTGGAGCGTTGCCTGGGGTTGTTGTGACCTGGATCCCCTGTTTCACCTGCCTTGGCCTTGAGTGGGCGCAGGAAGGGAGAAGAAAATGCACCTGTGGCTTTGCAGTTGCAGGTGCTCCTGTCCTCAATGCAGGGCTGCCCAGGATGACGTCCTTTCCCTCAGCATCTTCACTCACACCTGGGGACATTTGCAAACAGACACCCTGACCAAAACACCCAGAAAGATTCCCACACATTCCTGTGGTTAAACATCACACCCCCTTTCCTGTACACTGAGACAGTCACAGGCCTGAGTCCAGTTGGAATGTCCCAGCTTATGTTCACGTGGCCCTGCCCACAAGAGTGAGCTTCTATTTCTCTGCTGAAGTGCTACAACATCCTTGGTGTGACCACCACTTCTGTAGAAATCCATGGAGCCAAGACCACGTTGTTCTCTGCTCTTTTCACAGTTTCCTCCCAAGCAGGGCCTGGGATCAGGTGTGGGGCCATTTTTTAGCACATCAGGCTTTTGGCAAACCCAGGTAAGGGATCTTGCTCGTGGTAGATGGGCTCCTGAAAAGCTGTGGAAAAACCCCTGGACTGAAGAAGAGATATTTTCTGAGAGACACAGGGCATTTTCAGCCTTTGATGGTACCAGTTGATAACTACAATGGTCATCAAACAGACAACGAAAGCCTGGACACTTCAGTGCTCAGCTTTGTTTTTATGGCATCCAAACACAATCCCCTCAGCACATTCCCACCTCTTTTTTATGTTCTGCAGGCATCTCCAGCTGGCCTGTTGTGCATTTTGGGGGGTTGCCAGCCATTAAACCCATGTCAGAAGCGGGAAGTCATTTTAGAAGTATTTGTTTGGCAAAAGAGTCATTTGCCACCACCTTTCCCTTTTAAGTGGCTTCCATGGAGCCGAGCAGAGTCTGGTAAGACACAGATTTGAAGCCACCTCCCAGAGGAGGTGAGGGGAGCAGGGGGTGTTTAGCTGTAGAACACGGGCTTGCGGAGCACACGCACCACATTGTAGGTGTTCAACCCCGGGGCGTCAAAGCCAGGAGACAAACCCTTGCGGTCAAAGGGGTAAAAGTTAAAGAGCTGCCCATTTTGGGTCTCCAGGGAGATGGAGGCAGAGCCCAGGTGCAGGACACACGGGAACTCCTTGTCAAAAACAACTTGGAATACACGATCCTCCAGGTGGTGGAGCTTGATTGTCCGATACTTCTCAGGGATTAGCTCTTCTACGTGAGGCCCAAACTGCTGCATGATCAGCACCCCACCAATGCCAACTTTGATCTCATAGAAAGTCAGGTTGGAGTAGGTGTAGTAGCCAACATAAGGGATGGGGTTTGGAGGGGGGACCACGCTCTTCTCTGCCTCCCTGAAAGCCGTCTCCATGGCCGGAATGAGATACTCATAAGTCTGAGTCACAACATCCCCACCCTGAGGCCTGGGCCCTGACATGAGCACGATGAAGCTCAGGTGGAGCTTGGGGATTAGAGAGAAGGTGGCTGAGTAGCCATCGAGGTCCCCATCCTTCCTGATGACATCGTAGCCCAGCTGCTCGTTGATCTCCCAGGGTGTGCCGGTCTTGTTGGCAAAGTAGTCGCTGGAGCACTTGAGCAGCGGGGTCAGCATGGTCTTCACCGTGTCAGGCTCCAGGAGCCGGCGGTGGTAGGTGCCCAAGAAGACCATGGCCAGCTTGGCCAGGTCGGCAGCCGTGGAGTACATCTGCCCAGAGGGTCTGTACCAGCCCAGGTCGTAGAGCGGGGCGGGCTGGCGGCTGCCGTAGAAGCCCACGGCCATCTGGGAGCGGATGGGCGGCGTGAGGTCGAACCCCGTGTCCTCCATGCCCAGGCGGTCCAGGATGTGCTCCGAGATCCAGCGCTGGTACTGCCCGTTGGCCCCGTGCTCGGCCAGCACGTGGGCCAGCAGGGAGAAGGCCAGGTTGCTGTAGTGGCACCTGGGAAGGAGGAGGAATATCTCGGGATCAGCTTTACCCGGCGTGGATGGGACAAAACGGGGGCTGCGTCTGTTTGTTTAGGGGGTACTCACATTTTAGGGAATGATGTGCTAAAGAGAGAGGAGAGATGAAGGAGACCTCCTCACTCTCTACAGCTCCCTGACAGGAGGGGGGAGCCAGGGGGGGGTTGGTCTCTTTTCCCAGGCAACCATCAACAAGACAAGAGGGCTGGGTCTCAAGTTATGCCAGGGGAGGTTTAGGTTGGATATTAGGAAGGATTTCTTTCCAGAGAGGGTGGTCAGACACTGGAATGGGCTGCCCAGGGAAGTGGTGGATTCTCCATCCCTGGAGTTTTTTAAAAAGAGACTGGATGTGGCATCAGTGCCATGGGCTGGGAACCACAGCAGAAGTGGATCAGGGGTTGGACTTGATGATCTCAGAGGTCCCTTCCAACCCAGCTGATTCCGTGATTCCATGATTCTATGAGAGACAGGGACACAGTGTGGATGTGGATATGAAAAAATAGTGGCTGTGTGTCATTTAGGGAAGATTCACATTTTATGGAATGACACGGTAAAAAAAGATGAAGGAGAGACAGGGATACAACGTGGGTATGGATATGGGTATGAAAAAACAATGGTTATGACTCTCATTTAGGGGAAAAAGCACATTTTATGGAATCACATGCTCGAGACAGAGAAAAGCTCTGTGTTGTTTCCTTGTTGTTAAATCAAGAAAGAAATCTTTTACAGTAACATCAGCAGAGTTGTATAACTCTGATGGACAGAAAGACCTGGGGATGGAACAGGAACACTCCTGTATATTTGCATACAGAAGTATATATATTTGACTTATTGTTTATAACAGTTCACAAAGAACACATCCATTCTTTTCAAGAGCAAATGGAGAGTTCCAGGTGTTTGCTTAGAGGTCTCAAAATCCCAGGTAAGCCTCTTTGGGGATTGACTCTGGTATAATCACTTAAACACCTAAGCGACCTTAAGATGGTAAAAGCACTTAAAGAGCACTTAAAAGCCCACAAAGCAGCAACCAGCACTGTGGAGGCATTAAAGAAGTGCTTCAGTCTTTAATATCCATCAAGTGATTTAAGTCTTTATGCTTGAGTGGAGTTTAATGGCATGAAGACATGAATGAGCAAGTTTTTTTAAACACATTTTCAAAACTAATTGTATTTTCAGCTTGGTTGTTTGGTTGGTTTTTTTTCAACTGTGTTTTTTTTCAACTGTTGTTTTTTTTTTCATCTGACTGAGGCCTATTTAGGTCATAAATTTGGTACCACTTCAACCTTTTCCAGCCCATCTGGCTGAATAAAAGCATGATGAGCATACATATTTATTACCCTAAGAATAAATACATTCTGGATCCAAAATTTTACGTCTGAAATGGAGCTGAACTTCAACATAGACAAATATATTAAAATGTCTGTGTCAATAAATGGGAACTTCCCTTGGGAAGTATGTCCAGGAACAGGGAGAAAGTTAAAACTATCAACATTAAGTTGATATTTATTAAGTTATTAAGATGTTATGAGACTATGAGGGGATGTCCCTGTGTATCTTCATGGGGAGCACAATATAAAGATACCAATAAAGATAATACCAATAAAGATATAAAAATATCAAAGAAAATGATGGCATTTAAGTCTTAAAATCCTTTAAGGAATATCTGTTGTGGCCTCCTACATGATATGGGAGAGAATTAACAGAAGTGAAGGAACCTCTGAGCTTTCCTCCTCCATGGCCATGGTAGATCCTCAGCCATCCTGGGCAAATTATGTCAGGATTTCACTTTGCAGACTTGGAAAAAATTTTGCCGAGTTAGTTGTGATCCTTTCTCTCACCTGATGTTCACTGGATGCTGTTTAAGGAAGTGTGGAAGTGTCCAAGGCTGGATGGAGCTTGAAGCAATCTGGTCTAGTGGAAGGGAGGTGGAACAAGATGATCTTTAAGGTCCCTTCCAACCCAAACCATTCTGGGATTCTGTGATTTCATGACATTTTTGAGGGTTTGCAACTCAGGTAATGGACTTTTAACAGGCCACAGAAATTACAAAAAGCATTCACAGACCTTATAGATAATTTAGAGACATACAAGTGACAACAGACACGATTTTAACTGAAATCTGTGGTGTTTTAAACTGTTTAAATTAACATTTCCACTACAGAAAACCTGCATTTAAGGCTTGTTGGACCCAACTACGGCAGTTTAACTTGCCTCATCTAGACTTAAAAAATGAAGAACAGATTTACAGAATATTCTGACTTGGAAGGGACCCACAAAGGTCATCAAGTCAGTTCCAGCCTCAGACAGGTGTGTGGGGAGGTGGCTGAAGCCATGTTTATCCATTGGCCATGGAGGCTGCAGGTGGGGCTAAGAGTGAAGAAGACACTCCTAAAAGTTCCTAAAATGAATCCATCTGATCTGCTAAAGAGAGGAGAGATGAGGATACAATGTGGATATGGATATGGATATGACAAAATAGAGGCCATGTCTCTTATTTAGGGGAAAATTCACATTTTGTGGAATGACATGGTAAAGAGAGGGGAGGGATGAAGGAGAGACAGGGATGCAGTGTGAATATGGACGTGGATGTGACTGGAAGCCCATAAATCAATCCATCTGACCTGGTTCCTGGATCAGCCACCAGCACATCATCCTTCAGGAGAGCCAGGGCGTCCTGTGTGGTGCCCTTCCACAGCAGGCTGGTGGATCTCAGCCTCCTGGGCAGACCTGTGCCAGGGAAAAGAGATTAATTCCAGAGAGAGCACGGAAATGCTGAGTCTGGTGAGGAGGGAACAGAAGCCGAGGCAGTCGCAAAGTGGAAGCAACAAAGAGGGACTCGTGTGCTTTGCAGACACAAGGACCTGTTCCCACCACGCTGCAGGACCCCCCCAGCCTGGGTGATGTGAGTCCTACCCAGCATGAACTTGGGGTGCTACAGCTCAGTGAAAAGACCCCCACGAATGACCCACAACCTCCTGTACCCCCAGGGGTGTTTTGGCTTGTTGGGTCTTGGGGAAATCCCTGCCCATATTCCCACGGGACTCTATTCCCGTGACTACAAAGGTGTGTGACAGCCCCTTTTACCAGAATTTCATTCTTCACATCTCACTTTTGAGGGCTTGAACTTCTCCGAATGGCTCCAAGCTTGGCCTAAAGTATTTTTGTCTTCCCCCCTGGCCCATCTTTAGCAACATTTATTCAAGGGTTCTGAATGTAGGAAAAAACAAAATTCTTTTTACTGAATGTAGAAAATACTAAGGTTTTCTTTAACTTTTAGTTCCACACTGAGCAGGGATTCCCTAAAATCTTTCGGCCAGTAGTTTTTAAATTGCCCCAGATGCTCTGAACAGATTCTGTGGCTCTCCATGTCCAGAACTTGGATTACACCCAGAGTGGAGTCCTTGTGGCTGTTTCCAGCTCACTTTGATGTAGAAGTGAGAAGGAAATTGGGAAGTGTTTGTGACAGAAAAGCAACTTGTAATAGTCTGCTCAGTGATCATGGGCTTAATCATAGAACTATGGAATTGTTAACGTTGGAAAATCCCTCTAAGATGGAGTCCAACCATCAGCCCAGCACCAATCACCACCATGTCCACCACTAAAGCACGTCCTCAGTGCCCCATCCAAACGTTGTTTGAACACTTCCAGGGATGGGGACTCCCCCACTGCCCTGGGCACCCTCTTCCAATGTTTTTCAAACCTTCCTGTGAAAATCCTTTTCCCAAAATCCAGTCTAAACCTTCCTTGGTGCAATGTGAGGGCTTTTCCTCTCCTCCTGGATCCTGGTAAAGCCGAAGGAGGCCCCACTCTTTTGGAGCAGCAACTCTGGCTTTTCTCGGTTGGCCTGACCCTGGGATTTGAGCTGGAATGAGAGCACTGTTTGTGCTCCTGCTCTGTGGTTGTTTGTGCAGCTGAATGACCAGGTAAGTGATGCACTGACCATCTTCCAGCTCCTCCAGCTCCTTCATTTTCTACTTGCTGCAAAGACAACGCTGGACCGCTGGGAGAGTTCCCCAGAGTCCTGACAGCAGTGCAATATCTCTCCTGAGGTTCATTAGGAATGATAAACCAGAGGATGTGTGAGCATAATATAACCCACAGTCATTGATTTATAGCCCATGGGCTGCTAATTGATGTGACAAGCACACTGTTAATAATTTACAATCTCATCCCATTCTGTCATTCAGATGTGTTTGAAAATCCTGGGCTTAACAAGCTGGAGCTTTCCCCCAGCAATGTGCTGAGTGCTGAGGAGAAAAACCTTTGGAGTTCCTTTTGTAATATGCAATGGAGAAGAGCCCAGATAATGAGAATCTATTAGAGATCACTTTCCACTGGAAGAATTCAGATGAAAACCACTTTACAATGTGTCGTGCAGCGGCTTTGATCCTGGTGCCAAGCAGAACCTTTTCCTTTTTGGGGTTTTGACAGACAGCAAACGTAATGTGGGACCTCAACATTCAATTGATTTGCAGCTGGGATTTTGAAACTGTGCTTTTGCTTCTGCTAAATTGTCAGGGTCTGAGGTAGTTGGTGTGTCCTGCTGGTGCGGTCTGGGAAATTTGGGCCAAATTCTAAAAAAAAAAAAGGCACAGGAGCACAAAAGGAGCTGAGCAAGGGCACAAATCCAGGCAGTGATGGAAGCAATGGAGGGGCTGCACAGCACAAGTGCCCAGGTGCACTTTTGACATGTGCTTCTCACAGCATTTCTGGGGTGCACTTCACACCTCACTGGGTGACAGGAGCAGCCAGAGCAGCTCCAGATACTCCTGAGAGTCAGAGGGGACTGGGCAGGGTGGGTAATTCCTGGGGACAACATGTGGGTAGAGCCAGACCCTGCCTGCAGGGAAAGGGGCTAGGCAGGGATGTGGCCATTGGCCACTCTGGGCTGCTTGTGGGTTTGTTTCCAGATTTCATTCACATCATTCCATTTTTGGGGAGCCCTTATTTTGATACTGGTTTGCTTCAGGGGATGCTGTGCCCCATCCTGCAATTTGCCTACCTGCTGTTTTGATTTTGGCTCCTAATTTTAGGGCATTTATTCCAACCTAGAACAATGCAGAGGCTACAGAGATTAACCAAAATGCCCCACAAGATACCAGCACAGTCTCTTTGGCCATTTTAAATTTTGGAATCTCTCAATCAAGTATTAGCAGCTTTATTTCGGAGAAAGGTTAAAGTTCTGAATCCCATGAGCTCCTTCTACCTTAATGTAACAGTTACCCAGTTCTGAAGCAGCAGCACATTAATACTTCTCTGCCAACAAGTGCAGAGCCATGAATAGCTCAGGAATCCCAGCTCAGGAGCCACACTGGCAGCTAAATTTAGCTCATCAATCAAGGTCTTTCTATTCAAAGCAAAGAGGTTTGGTGCCTCTTTGACCTCCAACTCTACATCTCAGAATAAACAGAGCACTCTGGGCTGGAGCACAAGGCACTGTTATGCAATAAGAGCCTGGTTTCAGGATATTTCAGGAATAAGATGGTGGGATGCACCAGGAATAAAATATTGTGGGGTGTTGGGATTTTGGGGAATAAAATACTAGGCTGTGGTGGTAACATAATGATGGGATAAAATATGACAGGAATAAAATATTGGGATATGTGACAGGTAGAACCTTGTGATATGATGGAACTCAATGTTGGGATATGATGGGATTTAATGTTGGGAACATGTTGTAAATAAAGAATTGGGATATGTGAGGAACAGAACACTGGGAATGAAATGCTGGTGTGTGTGTTAAATCCAACCCTGGGCTACCTGTGGTACCAGATTGTGAGGAATCTGAATCACTTTCCAGGGGAAAAACAACTCCCCAGCCCACAGGGCAGGTCGGCCCCTTTCCTGGCAGGTGGCCTGGAACAAGAGTTTCCTTTTAGCACTCCAGGAAGCTGCTCCCAGGAATCCTGCTGACCTCTGGGAAGGGCACAGGGCAGGGTCCACACCGGGAAACACCTTCTCAGCAGCCTTTTGTACCCCTGGGATTCAGGCTGTTGTGTCTGTGGGCTCTGAGGTGGCCCAGAGCAGGGCTGTCTCACCTGAGAGCTGACTGGCCATCCTGCGCAGGGTGACGGGCGAGGGCTTCGGTGGCACCGAGCCCTTCTCCAGAAACACCAGCCCATCTGCTGTGTATCTCTGCTCTGAGTCCTTCAGCCTTCCCAGGGGGTTCTTGATAACAAAGCTCTGGGCGTAACGCTCCAAGGGGTCATCCAGAGACGTGACCTTGCCTTCCTCCCACATCTTGTACAGCATAATGGTGGGGAAGATCTTGGAGACGCTGGCGATTCTGTGAACGGCCAAACATGCAGAGAAATTAAACTTTAAGAAGCTCATGAATCAAGAGGAAAGATGGTACGTGAGATCACTGTAGCTTTCATGGCACCAAGGCTGACAGAGCTGAAGGAGTGCCTGATCATCCAAGATGATCCTCTGGGGCACAGAGTGTGACTCCTGGGGATGGGCCTGTGCAGGGCTGAGGGTTGGACTGGATGATCCTTTTGGATCCCTTAAACTCAGCATATTCTGTGATTCTGTGACAACTTTGCCTGTTCTGAAGGGAAGGGTTAAAATATAGGTAAGAAGTTTGAATTAGTAGCCTTAAATCTGAACCTTTATCAACTGATAACCTCTGTGCTCAGCAGCGCAGTGGCTGCAGATCTTTTCCTAGTCACTTAGTATTCACAAAATTACCTATTTTGTAAATGATTGGTTAGTAAATGCCATAAAGGGCAGGCACTGACATCTGCTCTGTGAGGACCAGGGACAGGGCAGCAGGGAATGACCTGGAGTTGGGTCAGGGCAGGTTTAGGTTCTCAGGAAAAGGATCTCAGGCAAAGGTTCTTCCCCCAGAGGCTGGTTGGGCACTGCCCAGGCTCCCCAGGGCAGTGGGCACAGCCCCAAGGCTGCCAGAGCTCCAGGAGTGTTTGGTTGATCCTCTGGGGCACAGAGTGTGACTCTTGGGGATGAGCCTGTGCAGGGCTGAGGGTTGGACTGGATGCCCCTGGTGGGTCCCTCCCAGCTCAGCACATTCCGTGATTTTGGCGACAAAAACTTACTGGTAGTTTATTGGAATTTTACGGTTAAAATCACAGACTTAACAGAGTCCTTTAGGGTGGAAAAGACCTCTAAGGTCATCAAGCCCCACCATTTACCCGGGGCCACCCCTAAACCTCGTCCCCAAATCCCAGATTTGCACATTTGGAGCTGCCTCCAGCCTGTCCCTGTGGCGTAACCGGGCAGCGCGCTCGGCTGTTAACCGAGAGGTTGGTGGTTCGAGCCCACCCAGGGACGTGGATCCTGATTCCAGGGGTTGGAGCTACACCTTTAATGTCCCTTCCAACCCAAACCATCTTATGGTTCTGGTAGAAAAATAGCAGAAGGTCATTTTTCTGTTATTACGGATGGGGAAGGAACAGATGATCTGAAACTTTCCAAAACTGTCTATTCTGAGAACAAAGCTGACTGTCAGAGTGCAGCCCATGTGTTTCATAGATAACACAGGTAGAATTCACTGAAAATAGATCTTTAAATGAAAATCCTTATATTTTTTTTTGGTTTTAGCACACATTAAGAGCTTGATTCTATATTCACCCAAAAAATAACAGGCAATATGACACTGGGAGGATGAATAAGTGTACAGGTCTATTTTATGTGTAGTAGAAACTCTCCCCAAGCCCCAATTTTTTCTTAGGCTGAAATTCATATTATTATTATTATTATTATTATTATTATTATTATTATTATTATTATTATTATTATTATTATTGCTTTAATTAATATTTTAACCCTCTGGCCCTGTCTCCTCTCTGTTCTCTTTTTTCAGTATCTGTGCCAGTTCTCAACCTTCAGATTTGCGCCCCAGGCCTCCTCAAAGTGTGGAGCCACTCCTATGAATGTTTTCAGGCTCTTCAGGATGGTAATTTAAAATACTATCAGATCAAATTAAGAAAAAAAAAATCAATGAATACATCCTAAGTAACTCGTTAAACCACCAGCAAGTGATAATTGCTGAAGCATCATCTCACAAAGTTTCAAGAGAGGTTCGTGCTCCCTGCAGGAGCTCTGTTTCCTGACTCCCTGCCCGTGCCAAGGTTACATCCATCTGCCTTTTCCTGGCTCTCTGCCTGTGCCAGGGCTCTCACCTGTAAATGGTGTATTCGTTGGGCACAGCCGAGGAGGGGTCGGAGATGTTCTTCTTCCCAAAGTTTCCTGTCCAGAGCACTGTGTCGTTGTAGATGACGATGGCAGACATGGCTGGCAGCCCTGAGCTGTGCATCTTCTGCCTGAGCATCAAATCCACCTGCAGAACGAGGAGAGACCGGGAATTCCCAAATGAAAACTCTTCTAATGCACCCAGTCTGTACCAGACCACCAGCCTTCCTCACTCCTGAGCACTCCAGGGGGGTTCTGTGAAATGTATTTTGTCAAAAGAAAATATTTTAACTGTTGAAGAGTTTTTTAGAATTGCTTATGTTGAATTATCCAGTGTCTTCCTTTCGGTCTACATGTCAAAGAACCTGTCGCTCAACCTTCTAATATTTAAGATAAAAACCAAATGCCAACATGCAATAACTGTAAATTCTTCCTTTTTTAAATTGTACCCTGCACATCTGTTCTCTGCACTAGTATTTTAGGGTCAAAGAGGTACAAGAAGACGACTTTTCAAATATCCCATGGGACTTTTCACTCCATGAAACACCTCTGAGCTCAGGCTCCTGTTAAACTGCAACCTGAGAAACAACACAGCAACCAAAGGGCTGTGATTGCCCTTTGCTGCCTGTTGTGCCCGGGCTCTGGAGGTCTCATCATCCAGCTGTGCTCCACCCACCTCCTGCAGGCAGAACACATTGATCTTGCCCTTTGGTGGCTTTTTCAAAGCTGTGTGTCATCACCTTGCATGTGTTCTCATTTGGTTGAGACATAAGAAATTCCTTTCCAGGCCCAGCGTTTCAGGCAAGAAAGGCCAAGCTGAGCCATGTCCTCAGGGGCTCTTCCCTGGGTAGACTGGGGAGATGCACTGACAGCAGTGGAAACATCCAACCTGTGCCAAGTCCTTCTGTCAGAGGTTCTTTGCCCTCTGCTCCTCATGTACCAGTGGCCCATCTGGGAACACCAGCAACTCCTGACAATGGAGTGGCCTCAAGGGGACCATGGAGAGGGACTTTTTATGAGGCCATGCAGTGATAGGACTGGGGGAATGGCCTTAAGCTGGAGGAGGCAAGGTTAGATGGGAATCCTTCCCTGTGAGGGTGGGGAGGCCCTGGCACAGGTTGCCCAGAGAAGCTGTGGCTGCCCCATCACAAGGCCAGGTTGGATGTGGCTTGGAGCAACCTGGTCTGGTGGAAGGTGTCCCTGCCCATGGCAGGGGGTGGGATGAGTTGGTCTTTAAGGTCCCTACCAACCCAAACCATTCTGGAATTCTATGATTCATTCAACAATCATGGTCCACCTTAGGGATTTCTTAGAGAGTGACAAATAGACCTGCCTGGACCTGCAGAAAGTTGACAGAAGCACGTGATGCTCTTCAAGACTTGAGTGTCATTGAGTCTGATACTTTGGATTTGGTCACTAGCAAAGCTCTTCTGAGGAAAACATGGACCTTTCTGCTAAACAGAACTATTTACCATTAGAGGAGAAATCTTTCCTTCATCCTCATGCATGAGTGAAGGTCACTCTCCCATTTCAAGCTGCCATGGGCTGGGAAAAGGTCCTCCCCTGTGTGCAATATAACAGCATCTGGCACTGCCCAGATTCCCAGTTCCAAGTGCTGGCCTGGCACTGGCTGGTGACTTGTCTCAGTTACTGCAAGACCTTCAGTGTGTGTTTGTGTCCACAGGCTTAGGCAGAACCTGAGGGCCTCTGAAGATACACTTTTAAGGTGCTCATTCCTAAGCCCCCTTCAAACACCTCTATCTTCCATTGTTGAAGCTCCCTGTGCCTTATTCAGGCTGCAAAATGGGAATGTTTTCACCAGCCTCTTCAAAGAAGTGCTTGGATACTTCATTTCCCAAGAGTGCAAAAGAGGAGATTGGATGACTCTGTGGTGGACACTCAATGTTCTGCACATCCCTCACCTCTCTGACTAATCCTAATTGAACAGCAAAACACTCTGCAGTAACCCCAGAGACAGGCAGAGACTTCCTAAGAGTGGATGTGAAGTGCTGGGAATTGAAATTCCGTGTGGATACAGCTCTGTGTGTGCAGGAGAACAGCCCTGAGCACACCCACCCACCCACGGGCTGAGAGCTGGTCCTGGGCTCCCAGCAACAAAACCTGGGGGCTCTGCTGGCTGCTCCTGGCAAAGCACCTGCTCGGTGCCTTAAGGTCAATCAGATGGGAAGGGTTATTAGAGAAGTAGCACAAAATAAAATAGGAAAGCCATTTTTTCATTGTAAATTCACTTGCATCATGAATGTTGCAGTCAGTGCTGAATTCCTGCTACCTGTGAGAAAGAAAAGATGGAAGGGAATGGGATAAGGGGCATAGAAAATCAGGAGTGTCCTGTCCTCATGGTCCAGACAGTCCAGGCAGTGCTGCAGTGTTTCCTAGAGCCTGCCAGAAGTTCAGTCAGTGCTGAAATGTCAAAGACACTTTATGACTCCCAGGGAATCTTGATGTGACATCACACCGAGGGAATACTGATGGAACATCACACCAGGGGTATCCCAATGGTACATCATCCAATCTCCTCTTTTGCACTCTTGGGAAATGGAGTATCCAAGCACTTCTTTGAAGAGGCTGGTGAAAACATTCCCATTTTGCAGCCTGAATAAGGCACAGGGAACTTCAACAGTGGAAGACAGAGGTGTTTGAAGGGGGCTTAGGAATGAGCACCTTAAAAGTGTATCTTCCTTCAGATGCAGGTCTTCTACCTCTTTCCCTTCCCCTCCACTCCCTCCCTTGAACCTACAAGTAGCTTTATACTTCTTAAACTGTGGCATGGGGAAAGCCAGCAAAGCAAGAAAATAAGGAATTGGCAGTCACTTATAAAAAGGAACTAGTTACACAAATCAGCTACTTTGCAGGATACATAATAGACCAGATGCCAAGAGCCATCATTTTGTGCTGATAAAAGCTCATCAGACCTTCCAATGGACAAGTGATCGTGTTTCTCCATCACAACTTGCCCTGTGGGTGAGAGAACTGCTTGCTGACCTGTCCTGAGTGTTCACTGAAGGAGTTTCATGCACCCACTTCTGGGTTCACGTGTTCTCCACCTCCTCGATTCCCCATATCCTCCCCAGAGATGCTCAGGGGCAAAACACACATTCCCCCCTCTACCCCTGCAGGAGAGCAGCCACGAGCTGTGCCTCCTTCTGTTCCCTTATCCCCCCAGACCTTCTCCAAGGCATCCTTCAGGATGGGGATGGGGTGGTCCAGCGGCACCGGCTCAGGGTAGCGGGGGCACATCTGCACAGCTTCTGACCTCACTTCCATCACAGAAGGGCCTGGAAAACATTGCAGGGGGAGCACAGGTGACTTCAACAGACACACCGACAAGGTTTAATCTCACCCACCAGTCACCACGAGATTTCTAGTGCTGTCCAAAGCTGAAGGACACTTCTGCACTGGAAAGGGATAATCCTGAGTTGTGTTTGTCTCACACAGAATAGGACTTGCAGGACCATCATGTTCTGTTATCACTTATTCCAGCATAGGATGGACTTCAATTGACTCTTAAACCTGGAAGAGTAAAGGACTGGGACTACAGTCCCATCTGACAGTGGGTTTAACCCCCATGGAAATGCCCTGCCCATGTCTGGAGGAAAGTCTGAGTTGGGGTTCAGGAGAACAGTGTTGGCCCTTGCATTTTGTAACCTCAGAAACGGGTATTGAAGTGAAGTGTGAGCATCCCCTGAGCTCCAGCACTGTCACAACAGCTGAAAGGTTGCACACCTTCTGTGTTAGTTGTCCCCTGAATTCCCTGCATCATTCCCGTGCCACAGAAACAGCTGGAATTTTTGTGGTGAGCAAAGCTCTTTAAACTCTCTGAGAGATGGGAACTGTCTCACTTGGAGGCACTATTTTTCCAGCTGATCCCAAGGTGTTCATAAACACAGCTCCTCTGCTCTGTGAGCTGCAACCAAATGCTTCTCTGTGTTCTTGCTTAGTAGGTGAACATGAGGCATCAGAACTAGAGATGAGGGGAGAAATGACACTAGGAAATCTTGGAGATGCATGGTATGGACACATAGAGAGCCCCCAGGCAGCCTGGTACTCTGTGACAAAAATGTAGGGTCTGAAATGTTTTCCAGACCTTGGTCTGTGAAATACCTCTGAATTCACCATGAATTTTAAGTCACCTTTGGGCTACTTAAAACTCTGATTTAATCCTTTAATATTTAATCCTTGCACATACAGTGCCTTGGGACTATTGGTTGAGTTTTCTACAATCAATAGAGGAGGCAACGGAGCTGCTCCAAGGGCTGGAGCCCCTCTGCTCTGGAGACAGACTGGGACAGCTGGGGGGATTCACCCGGAGGAGGAAAATTCCAGGGAGACCTGAGAGCCCCTTCCAGTGCCTAAAGGGGCTCCAAAAGAACTGGGGAGGGACTTGGGACAAGGGATGGGGTGACAGGACAAGGGGGAGTGGATTTAGACTGCCAGAAGGCAGAAATAGATGGGATATTGGGAAGGAAATGTTGGCTGTGAGGGTGGGGAGGCCCTGGCACAGGTTGAACAGAGAAGCTGTGGCTGCCCCTGGATCCCTGGAAGTGTCCAAGGCCAGGTTGGACTGGGCTTGGAGCAACCTGGGATAGCAGAAGGTGTCCCTGCCCATGGCAAGGGGTGGCACTGGATGCGCTTTAAGGTCCCTTCCAACCCAAACCAGTCTGGGATTCTGTGATTCTACAAATTCAAGTGTGAACCAAGGGCTTAAGCCAGGTCAAAGGTCTAAGATTAGGGGAACAGCAAAGGAAGCACTTAGCAAGGTGTAAAAGAAACCTGTTCTAAGCTGGAGTGACTTTCACAACACAGAAAAGGTAAAGAATGTAAAATCAAATGTCTCCTTGGTGTATCAGTTAACCAAAGGTGAGTAGCAGAAGTAATGGGGCTTCTCTGGACACCAGCAGAGTTATGTGGTCCTCCATCAATCCAGTGTTCATCTCCTCTGTGTCCTTGCACCAGCAAGGAGGAAGAAATTTATGTGTTGTCTGGAGAAATTTGTGTGTTTGGGGAAATGCTCTTTGGGGGAAAATGGGGAGAAAGGGTTTTATTAGTGTCCCAAATTTCTGTGCCAAACTACGAGCAAGGTTCAAGTAGAGTACTCACCGGGCTCCACCTTGGGGAGGCTGTACTGCCACAGGAAGCAGCCTGTCATTGCCACAGACAGCAGGAAGAGGAAGACAACCAACACATGGATCCACTTCACCTCCATGGCAGGGAGTTTGAGGAAGCTCCGGCTGCTGGGAGCCTTCTGCGAGCAGAGAAGGGGTCAGAGAGAGAGAAAACACCTCTCCTGCATTTCAGCTGGTGAGAGAGGCCCAATGCACCAGAGAATAAAGCTGCTGAAGGGACAGGGATGGATTTGAGCCCCCTGGTCCAGTGGAAGGTGTCCCTGCCCATGGCAGGGGTGGAATGAGATGAGTTTTAAGGTCCTTTCAACCCAAACCAGTCTGGGATTCTGGAATAATTTCAGCACCAGAGCTGGGCACACCAGCCTGGGTTGGGATAACTGGAACCAGAGATGACTTCTTGCCTTTCAGTGGGGTTTGTAATCCTCACCTTGTGGGTTCTTGTAGAAGAACACAACCACTCCTTCTGCCTTCCCCCTCCCTGCAGGTTAACACCCATCAGGCAGGATTCTCAGATACTGCTCTCAGTTCCACCCTTCTCAACCATCAGGACTTATTCCTGGATATCTTTCCAGTCCCTTTTTTTCCAGAGTCAGCATCTGTTCATGGCAGCCACCAGCTAGATCATCTGAGCAGATCCAGCTTTTCTAGATGAATGATGGAATTTTTTCCCCATTTGCTGCCCTCACCCTTCCATGTTGTGCCTGTAAATCCCATCCTATCACGCACCATCTGCAAGCTTGGCGTTTACAGATGCCACGTTTTGGGAAACTGGCTGATATTTTGAGTGTGTGCAGCTCTCACAACACTGGAGAGCATCCAGGTTGGGAACAGAACGAGATAAATGTTGAAGAAAAACAAGGAACAGATGACAAATGAGGAGGTGCCTGAGCCTGGGCTGTGCTCCTTCACTGCCTGCAGGAGGTCAGGAGGGTGCTTTTGAAAGTTTGGCAATTAATGATACAAAACATATGGGCTGCCATTTGCATCCAATATGGTCCACATTCCAAAGCTGTTTCAGGTTGTCTGGACTCACTTGTAGGATAGACAGATTGAAATATTCCCTTTAGATTTCCACACAGCCCTTTTCTTTTCCTTTTTTTTTTTTTTGAGATGCAGGAGGGTTGAGGCAAAAGCTTCTGCGAATCAGGTGAGCCTTGTCAGTCCCAGCCAGGGAATTTCAGACTCCCACATGGCTCTGTGGCTCAGGAAGGATCCAGCTGTGTTTTCCAGCCCCTGATGAAACTCTAGGTTGCACTTCCTGCACAATAACAGGAACACATCACAGTTCTTTCTAAAGCTTTTCGGCCTGTTCAGGCGTTCCCAGGGGAATTTCTCAAGGCAGGTTCTTCCATTACACGACTAAAACTTCAAGGGTGGCTCAAGACCACGCAGGTACCTGCAACCCACCCCAACCTGAGCCTGCCAGAGCACACGAGGTCCATATTCCACTCCGGGATGTTTTTCTAAACAGGGCAATGCCATTTTAGCACCAAACCCATTTTTGTTTGGATGTCCCAACCTCCTGAAGTGCCTCAGTAGGTAGGAGATCACACTGCCCCAGGAGAAGCCTGTGTGTTGAGATCTCTTTAATCCCCCATCCTGTTATTGTTCAGTGTAGGCTGAAGGATGTCACCTAGAGCTGTTTTCCTGCAGCAAGGAGAGCCACAGGGCCCTCTTCGCCCTGCAGTGTTCATGGGATGACTTTTTTTGGGTTCAGTCCCATCAGAATAACGTGTTTCCCCCAGCTATTTTCTTTGTTTTTCTGCCTCTTCCCTTGTTTCACTGAGAAACCCTGATTTCTGAGTCCCTCAGAGCAAAGGAAATACATTTTCTGGTATATTCCTCATCTCACAGATTCCAGACTCTCTGGATCACTAACTGAGGACCCAAAGATACCAACACTGAGCTCATCCTTTAGTCCAAACATCCTTCAGTCCAACCTCCCCTTTACCTCTTGTGGCTCATGAGTGCCCTGAATGGCTCTTTTTTATTTTCTGCCCTATAATTTAGTAGGAATGCAAAGAAACCCTGACAATGCCATGGACTAGAGACATGGATCTGTAGCCAGTTGTAGTTGGCTTCCCAACAAACCCCACAGAACACAGCAGAAAACCTCCCAGAAGAAAGAAAAAAAAAATGGAATAGCAAAAGCTATATAAAATATATATATATTTTACATATATCACAGATATACAATTAAGGAACTATGTACATAGGAATACAGGAACCCCAAACTGTCCCCAAAAGGGAAAGAGGGGAAGGGAAAAGGAAAAAAAGGGACAGAAACAAAACAGGTATGCACAAGTGAAAAACCCGGTAACCAGCAAATAAAGAACTGGCAATAAAGAACCACTTCTCTTGAGAAAAGCAGGACAGCCAGACCCGACCCAGCACTCTCCCCTCAGGAACCTACTGTTCCCAAACCTACTGTTCCCAAACCTACTGCTCCCAAACCTCTCTGGAAGAGAAGAGAAGGGAGGTCTCCCTGACCACCTTCCATATAACTCAGTTTGTGTAAAGGAATAGCATGGAATACTTCTTGGTCACTTCCCCAGTTCCTTCCTGGCTACAAGCTGGTCTCCAGGAAGGCCTAGACTGAAACCATCACAGGGTCTCTCCTTTATTGATGGGACACCAGATATCCAAAAGTGGGAGAGATATTCATCCCCCCTCAGGAGATGCTCTACCCTCTAAACCACCTTTCAGAAAAAAACACCACTGCTTCCCAGTACCTGGGAGGGTGTGAGGGAAGCAGATGGATAAATCCCTATAAACAGACTCCTCACACCTCCCACTCCAGGGCCTGTCTGGTCTCACCTCCTTCTCGGCTGGTTTTACGTTGCTCAGTGACCGTCTCTGCTCGCACACAAACACAGCCGGGCAGAGGGGGGCGAGGGGGGGCTTCCAAGCACTTAAACACATGCAAATAAATGCAAATCCATGCAGAACGAGCTCACGCAGCTCCCCAGGGGGGTAGGTTGTCAGCACGATACGTTTTTCCCCCCTCGAGCTTTGAAAAATTAGGATGGGGAGGGGTAAATATTTGGGATTCCCATGGGCCACCCAGGTGTGCTTGTCCACCCACCGAGGACCAGTCGGTCCAGGAACATCCCAGCACTGGTCAGGGAGAGGCAGAAGACCCCCAGCCCCCTCACATACCAGCAGCAGGAGTGTCTCAGTCCCAAAGGCTGTTGTTGTCCCACGTCCAGGGGTGTGAGGAACACAACGACCCTACTCCGCCCCGGGCAGGGGGGAGGATGGAGTCCCACCATCCCCTAAATTCACCCGCAGGTCACTGCAGGTGCTGCTTCCCAAAAGTCTCCCCGTCCATTGGAGCCATCCAAGCCCTCCCGATGGTGCTGCCGAACACCCCCCCGGGCAGGGGGATTAAGGGATGGGGTGGGGAGGGGGAATGGGGACATCGGACACAGAACGGCGTTTGCACTCAGGAAAGTGCCCGAGGGATTGGATGTTAATTCTCCCTAATGCTTCTGTGCCATGTGTGTGAATCACGGCTGAAACCAAGAGGGCTTCACCACCTATTTATAGCGCTTTCATCTCCTCCTGACATCGGAGCACGAGGCGATTAAGCAGCAGAGGGACAGTCCCCGAGAGGCTCCGGGGCCAGGCTGCTCGGGGAAGGGGAGCTGGGCAGATAAACCCGTAGTTCAGGCGCTCTCTGGGCTTAATCCTGAGCAGCCTCCTGGAGTTTCCCTGCAGTGACAGACAAGGGAGTCATTCCCAGCTCACCGGACACAAGTGGGATTTCTTTCCCTTTAGCTCTGGAGGATGGAGGAGGGTTGTGATCTGTAGGAGGGGAGCCTTACCCGCAGCTGTAACCCCTCCATGGCTGCTCAGGACTCTCTTCTCATCCCCCGTGCTGCCTGTTTGCACAAGTAAAAGGCTCATAAAGCCCTGTAATGAAGAGAAACCAACAGTTAGTGCAGGAAAAAAGCAGAGTCAGAGCAAGGAGGGAAGTCCAGGGTAACAAAGCCCAGCTCAGGTCAGCAGAACAGCAGGGAGGGACTGGTTTTGGATAGGGAGATGGGGGTTGGAATGATGTGATTTTCCAGCCCAAATCACAGTAACCATGTGAGGTAGATCCTCAGTAACACCTTCCATGTCTCTCCCTGTGGTTTGGCAGCACCTTGTGTTTACCCTCAAAGAATCACTTGACTCTTTGGGTGATTTGAGGGCCATTTCCAGCTCTCTAAGGGCTCAGCTTCAGAAATTGTCCCTTCCTTCCCCCTTCAAAGAACCACTTGACTCCTGGACTCCCTTGGGGCCATTCCCATCTCCCCGAGGGCACTGCCCAGTCCCCTCAGGAGGTGTCTCCTGTCCCCCCAGGCTGGGCAGTATGGTGTGGCACAGACTTCTCATTTCCCAGGGCCATCCTCACCCCACCTCCAAACACAAGGAACTGGAGCTTTGAGACCTTCAGGACTGCCACATTTTCACTGTGCCTGCTCCACATGGTCCTTCCAGCCCCTCCTTTCCCTCTTCACAGCCAACAACACCCCCCTTACACTTGGGACTCACAGACACAGCCAAGGAACTGTGTGACAGGTTTGGAAGTGCCGAGATAATGGCACTACCACCACCTTTCCCATAAAACCTCCCTCATCTTGCTACCTGACAGAGGCAGTTCAATCACCAACCCTCCCTAAAAAAGAGCTCTTACCAGCCTTGCTGCTCCCTTCCGGCTTCCAGCTGATGAATTTGGGGCTGTCCTGCAGCTGCAGATGTCGAGAGCAGATGAAGCACTAATCCAACAGGCTCTCTGAGCACAGATTAATCGGCCAGGCCTCACCCCTCTGCAGCATCTGGCCAGGGATGCAGCCAAAGGAAGGATTGCTGGTGATTTCCTGGCTCCAGCAGCAGAGCAGAGTTGAAAATGGGGAGCTGGGGGGCTGGGGTGTGGGTGTCCATAACACCCTGTGAGCTGGAAATGTTAACCATGGGCTGTCACAGCACGGGAGATACACCAGAAATGCTCCCCAAAGAGGAGGGCATGGCCATGCCTTCACTTATGCACCAAATCCAGGGGGATTATGCACCTCAGTGCCATCCTATGGCCTTCCTCAGATCTTGCCAGGTACAGGTACCCTACCCACACCACCCCTTCATTTCAGTATCTCCAGGAGTGGCTCAGAATCTGAGAGTGCCCCAAACACTCTGGTGGAGCCTGTGCCCCTGAGCTGTGCCCAAATTTTGGTGAGTGGGGCCGCAGATGACCTCCTCACTAATTAGAGCAGATCAAGCTCCTCGTAGGTTTGTTGCTCCTCGTTTCTGGGAACTCCCATTTCCTTCCAACATTCTCTAGGGTGGTCCTGTGCCCAGTTATCCCATAATCCCAATAATCCATTTGTCCTGGGAACACAGTCTTTAGCTGATGTGTAAAGTGAATCTGTGCTGGTTGAATGTCCCTCAGAGGTCTGCCAGGGCTCCATCTCTAGTTGTAAATGGCTAATCTTCTCCACAGGAAACATTTGTGTGCTTTCTTGATAGACTTGCTGTGCCAAAGATTTCTCTCCAATTTTGTGTTACCTCAGTCAAGGGCATCTCTTTCTCTGTGCTGGCTCTATTTCCCATCATTTTCAGGTACTAAGAGGGATTTGAATCCTATTCTACGTGTGCCTTGTGCTGATCAGGCACATTGGGAAGCAAATTGCAGCAGGAGAGGGACTAAAACCCACCCCAACATAGAGAAGGACTTAAACCCACTACAGGATTTTCACCAAATCTGCTCATGGAATTTTAACACTCACCCTTCAGTGCTTCCCATTCCAAAGGTCCCATGGGAACTCACACACTGCTGGCAATGGATGTTTGCAGATCCAGTGGTGGTGGTTTGGGGTCACCAAACTGTTAAAGAAATTTCTTCTCCCTGCAGCAGAGTCTCAGAGAGCCCATTCCAGGGGGGAAAAAAAATAATATTCGAGTGCTCCAGCAATAGAAACAACTTGATCTGGTGCCTTCAAACAGGGACTGGAGCAAAGAGATCCCTGGATTTCCTGCCCTTACAGTCTCTGCACGTGCTCTTCACACACCTCTTGGTCCAATGGGGATTTTTGGTCTGGAGTCTCCTAACACCTTCTTGGATTCCCTCCCTGTGTCCACACAGATATTGACTTCTCTTATCCTGTGGGTTTGCAGCTTTGCTGATGGCTGGAGCCTTCTTGTCTCCTGCTCTGTGCTGGTAGAGCATGGGAAATCCAAATGTCCCTGATTTAGGGTAAGCACTACTTAGCAACAACCCAAACACGAGTGTGTTCCCAGCATTACTCTCATACTGCATCCAAGACACAGCCTGCACCAGCTACCAGAAAAATCACTGAGGAAATGAGCTGTATTCCAACCAAAGGCACATCTGGGTGAAAGTTCAGAGCTTGTGACCTAAGGCTTCAGCAAATCCAGCTACTCATGCTCAGCAAGGAAAGCCAAGAAAGCAGCCTGGTAAATCACACACTAGTGTAACTCTAAGTGACTTATTCTTATTTAAAACTTACTTATTAAGCCAAGCAAGTAATATTTCTCAACCCTCTCCTTGCACTGGCTCAGTGTCCCAGTTTAGAGAAACCTCAGAACGTGGCAGAAGGGGTGGGAAGAAGATATTGTGCAGCCTCCAAGCAGCCTCTCCCTCCTGGGCTGTTCCCCCAGAGCATCCCCCTGTCCCAGGGAGCCTCAGCCAGGAAGGAACAGAGCAGTTCTCCTCCCTGCTGCCCTCTTCAAATGGGTTCTGCACAGCAGGGACTGCACACAAAGGATTTTGTTTCATAACAGCAGCTCCAGCAAAGTGACACGGCTCAGGCTGCAGAGGTCAATCCATGACAGAATCAGAGAATATGCTGAGTTGGAAGGGACCTACAAGGATCAACCAGTCCAACCCTCAGCCATAGGACCATTGCCAAGAGTCACACCCTGTGCTCCAGAGGATCATCCAAACCCTCCTGGAGCTCTGGCAGCTGTGGTGCTGTGCCCACTGCCCTGGGGAGCCTGTTCAGTGCCCAGCCACCCTCTGGGGGAAGAACCTTTTAAGGAAAACTCTCCCCTTTTTAAGAAAAAGCTTTCCCCAGCCCTGTTCCTCAATACCTCTGCCTTGAAGGGTACTCCTGACATTTTCCTGCCACAGGCAGGAGAAAAAGATGCACCTGGAAGTGTTCAGGAAGGTCCCTGCTGCTGCCCAACCACGGTTTGGAGCAGATCCCTGTGCAGGGAACACGTCAAGGTTTGGTTTTTCTGGCTGGAGGTAACTGAGGTGGATTTTTGTGCTCAGAGCTGTGTTGGCTCCTGGACTGGGAGGAAAAGCACCTCAAATGGAACAGTCTGGGAGAATGGACAAGGTGCAGGTGTTTAAGTAGTGAAAGAAGGAATTAGGAAGTGACCAGGGCTGGCTCTGGGATGAAAGGTGCAGGAGAGCAGCGACATGTCCCAGGGACAGGGCTCAGCTGGTCTGTCACCTCCTTGCTGGGCTGGCAGTGACAAAGGGGGCAGGGAAGGCAATTGGCAGCTCTAATTGCCCCCCTCTCCACCTTTGAACCAGCTCGAGGTGAGGGGGGTTCTCCCCCTTCCCCAGCCCCACAGTGCACAGCTGAGCCAGTTCTCTGTTGTCCTCCTGGGTGTCCTTTGTGTACTGTCAGGCACCACTGTCAGCCTTTGTGTCCCAGTACCAGCTGGCTCCTTTAATTGCTGGGTTTGTGTGGGTGAAGGGAGCTTTGAAAGTCAAAAGATGGAGCTGAGAGCCAAAGGGGCTCCGGCTGCATGTTCCTGTAGCCAGGATTGCTCCCAGCAGGGTGGGCTTGGATGGCAAGGGAGGGGGTGGCCACTGGCATTGCCCAGCTCAGGAATTCAGGAAGCAAACGAGAAGCCTCATTTGAGAGGAAATATTCCACATTGGAGACAGCTGGGACATATTTAGGTTTCTCCAAAAGAAGTAGTACAGAGGCACAATGGTTTTACTCTTTTGTTTGACATGTCCTTAGCCCATGAGCCCAGGATTTGGGGTTTTATGGAAAAAAGGTTTAACAACAGGTTGGTGATACAGAAATAATACATATATATTATCTGTGTATATAAATAGGATTTATATCATATATACATGATTTATATAGATACATATTGATACTCTCAGGCACAGGGTGTGACTCTTGGGGAGGGTTCTGTGCAGGGCTGAGGGTTGGACTCCATGATCCTTGTGGGTCCCTTCCAACTCAGCATGTTCTGTGATACCTATCTGTGATATCTGTGATATATGTGATAAATACATGAACTCTACAGAAATGGAGATTGCTGCTCCCTGCTCCAGCATGGGATATACTGCACTATGTTCCATGAGGATTTGTCAGGGCTCTGAGGGCACCAAGGGCCTGGGTCACCCTCACCTGGAGCCTCCTCCTTCCTGCCCTCCCCGTTGGCCCAAAGGGCTGCATTTAACCTCAAGACTGAGCCTTTAGTCCTCCCTTGAGATCTGCTGTAAGTCTGCTGGTCCCAGCCTAGCTGGGTCCATTCCCTGGCTGGTTGTCAGGGGTGGGAGTGGAAGGCTTAGATAGAATTTTTTTAAAAGCCCTGTTGTCGAGTTCACAAGGTGCAGTAAGGATTCCTCAGAATTCTAAACCCCTTCTCAGAAGGAGTCTGGGTGTGGCTGTGTCCAACCTTAGCCTCGGATTATGCCAACAGCTCGAATTTAAGGAATTATAGAATTGCCATTGAACCATTTTTGTTTTAATGACTGGCAAAATGAGAATAATCATATAAAAAGAATCATTTATTTGTACAAATGATCAGACAAAAGATATTAACCAGAATTATTTACTACACAATATAAAGGCTAAAACTGCCAGTGGTATAGTATAAGATAGGCTGGTGCACTACATTGAAGAAATTATTGAAGCAATTATATTAAAGCTGGCAAAAAGGAATCATTTTTAAGTAGAGATCTGATGTAACTCACCCAGACTGAGGCTTGTGGGGAGATCTCAGCTCTCAGCCTCAAGGAGTGACCCCCCCCCAAGAAGGGTTCTGTTGGAAGAACCTGCCTGTGTGAAAGGGGGCTGGGATCTTATAGTATAAAGTGACAGTCACAAATTTTCCAGGCCACCTGCGAACTTATCTGTCAAATCCTGCTTCAAAAGCATGCTGTGCATTCAAAGGCTGGTGAACCAGGATGGTTTTAGTATAATTAACACCAAGATAACACCCTGGGCCAGCAGCTGAACTCGCATGATGCCTGCACGGTGTGTGTTCTCTGACAGATTTTACACTCTCCTGCCACACTGGCCACGGACTCTGCTGATCCTGACCCTGACATGTGGATCTCAGGAGAAGGTTATTCCCCCAGAGGCTGGTTGGCACTGACCAGGCTCCCCAGGGCAGTGGGCACAGCCCCAAGGCTGCCAGAGCTCCAGGAGGGTTTGGACAATGCTCTCAGGGACAGGGTGGGATGGTTGGGGTGTCTGTGCAGGGTGAGGGGTTGGACTGGATGATCCTTGGGGGTCCCTTCCAGTTGAGGATATTCTGTGATTCTGTGATTCCATGGACTGACACTGGACCAACAGCCCTCTGATGGTGGAGGCTTCTGACTGCACCTCCCCACATGTCTGGTGCTGCCCTCACCTCTCTCAGGTGCTTTGGGGCTGGTGAGGTCCTTGTCCCCCCTGACCTTGTTGTTGCCCTTGGCTCCTGGTCCCTGACGAACCACAAACCCCTTATTGCTCCCCGACAAGAATAAACTCATTTCAAGACATGATTAATTTAGTTCATTTACAGAAAACGTATTTTTTTCTCCCTCAACTTGCCAACATGTTGATACAAAGATATCCTGCTCCTGGAACTGTACCCAGACAGCAAATGGGCATGTCCTGGATGCCAATGGGCATTGGGCTCATGGGGATGCTCCCAGGGCTGGAGCCCCTCTACTCTGGATCAGGCTGGGAGAGCTGGGGGTGCTCACCTGGAGAAGAGGAGGGTCCAGGGAGAGCTGAGAGCCCCTTCCAGGGCCTAAAGGGGCTCCAGGAGAGCTGGAGAGGGACTGAGGACAAGAGCCTGGGGGACAGGACACAGGGAATGGCTTCCCACTGCCAGAGGGCAGGGATATATGGGATACTGGGAAGGAATTCTTGGCTGTGAGGGTGAGGAGCCCCTGGCACAGGTTGCCCAGGGAAGCTGTGGCTGCCCCTGGATCCAGGTTGGAATAAACTGGGATGGTGGAAGGTGTCCCTGCCCATGGCAGAGATGAGATGGGCTTTAGGAAACCTTCCAGTTCCAACCATTCCATGATTCTCTGTTTCTATGATCCAGCACCTCAGGGAAAGTGAGTTGTGTGGGGTGGGATTACAGGAGCCACATGGTGAGTGTGGGGATGGCACAACCTGCCAGCAGTTGGCACAAACACATCTGAAATTCATGTTTGCCTGGATTTTAAGGGCTTTAAGGTCCCTTCCCACCCAAACCAGGCTGGGATTGCATGACAAAGCTCTGATAAAGTCCCCTGGGCTGGGTCCAACAGGGGCTTCCCTCAGCCCATGGAGTGACAGTGAAACCTCCACCATCCCACATCAGTGCTGGTCACAGCTGGACCCAGCTTTGGCTCCTTTTCCTCTTCCCTCCACGCCTCAGGATCCTGCAGGGAGCTGGGTTTTCCCTGAGCTGTTTCCAAGCTCTCTCATTAACTGCTTGCCAGCAGCCAGCACTCCCACGATGGGCATCTCCTCTGGAAATTGCAGCCCCATGGCAATGGCCATTATTCCTAAATGAAGGACACAGGTCTAGTCATCCACCTCGTGCCTCTTGCAAAGGTCCTTGGAAATGATGATTTCCCTTTGCAGGTAAGGCAGGAAAATACCCACAATCACAAATCTGTGAAAAACACCCCAGCCTGGCCTGGTGGTGCAGTTTTTAACATTTCAGAATGCTGTTTTGTGATTGTTTGGTTTGTGGGGTTTTTTTTTTTTCCATGGACTAGGTGAAGATAAGGGAATCTTCTAGGCTTTTTGGGAATTGAAAGGTGCATATCTTCCTTACAAACAAAGATGGGAAACCCAGTTTCAACGATAGGGCTCATTTCACCTGATTTCCAACAGAGGCTTTTGGTACCTTGTGCCTGTAGTTATTCACTTTCAAGTTGAAGTTTTCCTGTGTGTCCCAATAAAGAATCATGGAATCCTGGGGTGATTTGGGTTGGAAGGGACCTTAAAGACCATCTCATTTCATCCCTGCCATGGGCAGGGAAACCTTCCACTAGCCCAGGTTGCTCCAACCTGGCCTTGGACACTTCCAGGGATGGGGCAGCCACAGCTTCTCTGGGCAACCTGTGCCCACCTCTGCTGTCCTTTCCCCTCACACCCAGTCTGGCTCTGTCCTTTCTGCAGCCCCTCAGGTAGTGGAAGGTGCTATGAAATCTCCCTCAGCCTTGGCTCCTCCC